AAATCTTTCTTTATAAGGAATTTACATATTATTACATTAATAACCATCATGTTAATTATCTAAAGGGCGCTTATGCTTATCTGGAATAGATAGATTATTGTGGTGGATTTTATCCAGTAATAGCTAACTTAAGCCCCAGTTTGCTTTTATTTATTTAAAAAATTGGATAAATAAAAATCTGTGATCTTGAATTGCTTAGCTGAAAAATAGCTTGCTTTGACGTATAGTTGACCAACTTTCATTATGTAAGTATGCTTTTATGTCAGCATTTTGAAAGGCTGTGATCCAAACAATGTTTTGAAGAACTCCTTTACTTTCAGTGTGTTAAAGGAACTTGATAATTTCAACACATCCCTTTATATTTTCATTTTTATTTATTTCATATTATATCAGAGTTTATTTATGGCAGGGTGACATTTTGCACAAACACACCAATTTGTCCTTCAAATTAACATTTTTTTCTCTCTTACAAATTCTGACATTTTGTGGTAAATATCAAGCTATTAATCTACTTCTCTATCCAAAGGCATTTAATGCAGCTTTCAAGTCACAAACTCAAAACGTTGATCGTTATTATTAATGAAAAATATAACATATCTTAAATTCAGGTTTTATATTTTAGACATATGAATTTGCATGTAAGATCAAATGGTAAAAATATATAATCATCATCACTATTGCCATAGATTCAGCCAACTCAGTTTTTAGTATGTCACTTAATTGTTTGGGGGCTTTTTAAAAACATGGAGGAAATTAGGATATTTTGAAATTTTACTGTTTTACCATAATTGGTCTCTTGATTTTGATTAATTTTCTTTGAATAATTATTGGATGACTTGAATAACATCATTATAGAAACAGGAATTTCAATGGTGCATTTATGGTGGCTAAAATTTAAAACTGACTTTAATGCACCTTGTGTAAACTTCTTATATTTTTCATGGGAAAGACCACAGAACCAAAATAGAACATATTGATTATCTGTAAAGGGCCATGTTCTAAGCAATGAAATCAGCCAATAGATTAGGCCATTATAGATTTTAGGTTCAGAATTGTTTTATATCCACAGGAGGTATACTCTCAGAGACACTACAAAGTTAGGGTGTTGTTATTGTTATTGATTTGATTCACTGTTTTCTAGATAAAATTGGCTAAATGATCACTCTTTTAAAGCTGTCTCATTTGTTTTTCCACTGGCTTAAAAAATAATATTTCAGGCAATATAACCTATTTACTTGAGAAGATTTCAGTCTGATGTAATTCATCTTCTGAAAGAAATTTCTAGAAGCCAACATAGTTAAAAATGTTCATTGTTGAAATTAAGAAGCTGAGGTAAATATACATGTTAAGAAATTATTTGTTACTTTGATTTCAAAATATTGTAGCTAAAATTGTAAATGGTATATCTTATAACATTTTTCTTTGACTAAAAATAAATAAAAACATTTTTATATAAGGAACACACATTTTCTGTGACTTCTGAACTTCACAGTAAATATCAATTTATAAGGAAAAATGATATTTCATTATCTATAATTAGCATATAATTATAGTGTCTATGATTACTGGTTTATAAAACAAATTCAAATAAACAATTTAAAAATATTTTTCAGAATAACATCTATGCCTGTTTCGTCTCATGGCTTATATGAAGTCCTAAGGATACTCTTATGCCAAATTTTGCTATTCAGTATATTCAGTTGTTCAGCAAACATTTATTAAATGCTTGCTATGTACCAAATGCTGTTCTAGGTATTGGGACAGTGCTATGAACAATATGAACAAGGCTATTATTCTCATGAAGCTTACATTTTAGTGGAGAAAGACATCTTAACTAATGATCAACCATTAAGATAAGGTAGTTTCAGACTGAAGTGTAAAAGAAGTAGGTTCACGAGACAGCACCTACTTCAGAGAGTGTTTTAGAGAAATGTGTTATTTTAGGTGAGATCTGGATAATAAGGAGCCAGCCATGTGAAGACCAATGCTCAGCATCACTTAAAATGGTTCTCCCTCTCTGTCTTCTTATTCCTTTCCCTGTGGGCTGTCCAGTTTCATTGGAAAGGGCCTGGAACTGCTGGATTCTGTTCTAAGTAGAGAAAAACTGAGGACAGCCAGATACATTGAATCTAATGCTATGTTTTATATTTCTCTGCTACTCTTACCTTTCCTCCTGTCTCTTCTCAGCACTTCCACATACTTTTTAGACACCAAGGAGTGGATTCCCTGTCTTACATATGTAAATATAGAAAATAAGATACTTTCTAAAATTAAATATAGTTGACACACAATATAATCAAAATAGAATGCTTTTAATGTTTTTTCCCCCATTAGCACTTACCAAGTTCTAACACGTTATATAATTTATTATTATTACTGTTTTTGTCTGCGGTCATCAGCACCATTAGGAATTTTGATGTTATTTTTCACTGATACATCTAAGAACTTAATATGGTATTCAGAATATAGTAGATATGAAGTGAAATATTTGTTGGATGAATAAATTGGCACTTTATATGAGGGAATTTGCTTGAATTAGTGTCTGCTGGGCCTTATTCATTGATAATACCTAATCATCCTTGGATCTGCCTTCCATTTCTAACATCAGTCCAATCTGATTATTACATCTTTGGCTGAGAATGAACTATCTGACATAGTGTTTTCCAGAGGCTGTCTCCTGTAGAACTTCCTATAGAAAGTCTCAGGGGGAGAAAAATGTTCGAAGATTTTCACAACACTTTGTACTGCTGACTTTCCTTTTGAACAAATGAAATGGAATGCTTTTCAACTTGGAGCTCTAGCATCCAGATGATATGCTGAGTACAGAGATTGCTTGTGCTAAGTCTGCATTTACTCTTGAGTACATTTATGTTAACAGATTAGTTACTTTAGGGCATAACTTGCTTCTATTTTTAAGGCAGTTTGAATTTCAGATATAGTTGCTGACAGAGACCTCCCCCATCAGTTTTTATGCTGTCATATACTCCTCATTGTGAAAGGTAGTAGAGTATTATCTGTAACAAAAGTTGGTCAAGGTCTCCAAACAGTACTTTACTTCATGTTCAATCATCACATTGCAACTTAATTTGTGAACAACTGCAGCTATCGTTGTGACAAATTAGAAAATGTGTTAATTTGGAAAGTCTGGTTGTCTCATCACCCTCTGGTAGTGGAATCCCAGATTACCCTCTACATACAAACTGGAGTCAAAATATCATTCATATCTATTATGAAAACTTTCTTCTTTTCTTTTATATTAATTGGTATAGATAGGTAACATAATTGAAGTTCATGGTTATAAACTGGAGACTCTTCTTTTAATTACTACTTTATTCAGATATTATTTGGGAAAAAGTAAGATATTGTAGATATTTTCATCTGTGTCAGTGTTTCGCTTACTTGTCTCAAAACATGATTTTTGTTCCAAGGTACTTAGTTATGTGGACACAGAATGGGTAATATTTGTTTCAAATGTACTCTCATGGATAGTCACCTGGGGAGAAAATTCATTTGTATTTTTTCCACATAAAAAGATATTTTTTTCTTAAATCTTTTAAGACATTTTCACCTATAACCAATCTCCTACAGCAATTATCTTTCCTCAGTCTCTGTATAAGTGCTTTGTAATTCTTCAAATGCTTAGAAGCTTTTTGGAAATGAATGTCACTATATTTAAGCCATAATGTATATGCCAAAAATTTAACTGTCTTCTCAACTGACTATACTTCTTTATTTTATATAAGAAATACTGGTCTTTCTTATTTAAAATGCCATTTAAATTCCTTAGTGTTACTTCTTCGCAATGAAAGCTGGGAAATTGTAAGGCTCATCTCTTTCGTTTTCCTTTACTCTTGGATTATATCTTTTGTCCAATGTCTGATTTTTTGTGTGTGTGTGATATACTTTGTATAGTTTTCTAGTTGTTTAAGGGAGGAGATATTTCTCATCCCTGTTAGTCTAATTTTAATGGAAATGGAAATTCAATTCCATGTTTTTGAATGATTTTCATAAAAGATTATTAAAGGAAAAAGATTTCAGTAACTTAATGGTTTAGCTTCAGCTATCTGGGAAAATTCACTTATGTTGACCATTGCTGTATACATGATGTAAAAGCATAAAATATTTATTATACCTACTATATGCTAGGTTATTATGGCAAGAATTTTTATTAGTTCAGTTAATCTTTCCTCTAGCACTGTGAAGTAGGTACTTTTATTATTACTTTTCACATATAGGACAACCAAGACATAGATAAATAATTTTCCAAAATATTTATACCTAGTAAGTGAAAAGGTGATTTCAAAATCAGAAATTCTCTATTCAGATACTGTATTATTGACTAATTTACGTATGTAGTACTTACTGAAGAATTGTGTTACAATATAGTCTCTATGTTAGCAGAAACGTAAAACAACTTTACCTTATTGGCTAGTTTCACCTCTCAAAATTCATTTCTTATTAACATGAAATTGTAAAATGAGCGACATATTTTATTTTTGAGTAGAGTATAATAAAATAATTGTATGCATGCTGCATGCAACCTCTCTAGACAAAAATATATGGGGAAAAACATATCCTGTTTCTTTAATAGAGTTGAAATTTATTTTTCTTTTGGCATACAAGAAATTATTAGTTGTATTAATAGAAAATGTGATCATTATTCAATGAAGAATCTCATTTGCATGTTTTAGTTAGGCACATTTAATATGTCATAGGATTGCACATGAAACTTTGCCTACATTCTTGAGGTAATTTTGTAATAGTTTTTTAAAACCATTTAATGAAATAGCCTATATAGAAGTGCTCATTGTCGGTTGTTAAATTTGTTGGGTGTACTAGATGAAGTTCTAATCATAATATATGATTTATAATGTAGTGATCCAAATCCTTTGATGGTTTAAAAATATTGTATGTACAAATGCCATGAAACATCACCACCAATACTGGAAAAGAACATATATTGAGTAGGTTTCAAACTGTCTTTTATTTTGATTTTTCAGATTGCATTCTCACAACATAATACAATCATGGATCTTGTGCAGTTTTTTGTCACCTTCTTCAGGTAATCTGCTTTTACTGACTTTGAATTTATTAAACCTATATTCTGATAATGTTCTACCAATCTGTTAGGTAATTTATCAAATCTCTAAACTTGAATATCAATGGTGTGTCTTGAATAGTTTTATATGCTTAAATATATACTATAGAGCAGAGGAAACATACTTGAAATATATTTTTCAAGATGATTTTGCTATTGTACTATTTAATTGCTAATGGAATCAGTGGAAAGAAGATGATAACTATGTTCCTGTCACATAAGTAATTCATTAATGAAATTAGCAATATATTCACCATGGATTAGGTATACCTTCTAGAATTAAATAATTTCAAGTATTTGTTAGGTAATTATCATATATGTTTTGCAATGTGCTAAAAATCTGTAGGGAATGTATTTTCTCTCCTCAATGAGCTTCAAATCTGGAAATACTATGATTTTGAATAGAGCATCATTCCCTAGAACATTAGTTATCTGAGGTATTAAAAGTAAGTTCATACAAAGATTTTATAATTAAACAACTTTGGAAAATAGGGCTCTTTTAGTTTGTTTATAGCTGATGTTACTTCTACCACTGACATTACAAGAGTTTTTTTTTTTCTTCGAGTTTTTACTTTTTTTTCAAAAAAATATTTTATATTTATTCATGAGAGACACAGAAAGAGAGGCAGAGACATAGGCAAAGGGAGAAGCAGGCTCCCTGAGGGGAACCTGATGTGGGACTCGATCCCGGGATCCTGACCCGAGCCAAAGGCAGCTGCTCAACCACTGAGGCATCAAGTTGCCCCTCCTTAGAGTTTTTAATGTGCTACTTTGTGATGTATCTTTCTAAAGGAGAGGGTAGAGTTTGCAGCATTTCTCAAATTATAAAAATTCTTTTCAGGGAACATCTATTATTATTTCCATAGGATGTAAATAAAGAAACATTGGATTGGGAGAAGTGTGTCAGTGATAGGATAACACAGATGTTATGTTATCTTAGGTCATCTGGATAGGAAGGGATGTTATTTTTGTTAATATGATTATTGTACGTACAGGTTGTACTGGTCCACTGAGTGCCTTTATGTGAATTAGACAAATGTGTTCTCCTTTGGCAGACATAGCCCTAGATCGTAGCATATAGCTTTACAGAGTGCGTATGAATTTTGACCTCCACTTACCAAATTGGCTGAGTTGCTTTGTACTTCATGAAGAAACCTATACAACCCAATCCTTGACATAGATGATATGCCAAGCACTTTCTTAAATGCCAAAGTAACCATTATTGGTTATCTTGTCTAGACACCCATACAATACTTGAATTCCTATTACCTTCCCCACAGGGTCAGGAAACATTTTCTGTAAAGAGCCAGATAGGGAATATTTCAGGATTTGTGGGCTATACCATCTCGGTTGTATATATGCAAACCTGCTGCTATAGTGCTAAAGCAGATATAGCCAATAAGGAAGCAAATGGGAGTGGCTCTGTTCCAATAAACCTTTATTACAGAAACAGCTGGTGGGCTGAGTTCTGCCTGTGGACATAATTTGCCCAACCCCTCATCTAGCTTATGCCCGAATGCCTTTAATGATGAAAACATGCCATCTCCTGAGATAGCATTTTCTATCTTCAGATAACTAATTGTTCTTTGTAATTGAGATGAAATCTGTCTCCCCATAACATCACCTCTCATTCATCCATATGGTTCAACACAGAGCAAGCCTCATCTCTCATCTCCATCTATATAGCCCTTCAGTTTCTAAACTTTTTTCCAATTTACATATTCCCTATTTCTTTATCCTCTTCTGTTATCGAAACCTTTGTCATGTTGGTCGCTTTGCTCTGAAAACAGTCGTGTTTGTCTATTTCCCTTTAGAAGTTGTGATTTCCAGAATTTAATGCTATCAACATATTAATCACTAAGTATGTATGCATATTTTAAATTTGTCCCTTAAAAATGAAATGAGGAAACAAATATATTATGTTTTATGACTTTGTACTTCTGAGCATAAATGGATTTTGAGGCTCTTTATTAGGTTATAGAATGTTTTTGGAAAGTATTAGAAGTTAGAATAAAACAAGCATTATTAAAGCATCAAAATAAAACTTTTTGATGCAGAAGAGTGTGGATGGAAATATATTGAAAAGTTCAACTCTGTATAAAAATCCACAAAATTGAATATATATGTAAATTATTAAATGTTTAGGGTTTTATTTTAAGCTTTTGAATTTGTATGCATATTTAAGTTCAATAGCTTTTTTATTAACTAAAAGAAAGCTAGTGTTAATGTGTTCCATGTCTTAGAGATGATCCTATTTATTATGTTGTCATCATGGACAAAGTGAAATAAAATATTCTACCTGTTGTGTGAGATAAAATATATTTGATGTGCTTTTTTGTCATTTAAATTTCTTTCAGTAGAAAATGTAAATTAGATCGTTTTAAAATTATCTCATTGTTAAGAAAAAACATGGATAGACTATTTAAAAGTTTTTTTTTTTTTTTTTTTTTTTTAAATAAAGCCACTGCTAAATTTTAAAAGAGTTTTAAACAGGTCAGCGTGTATGGACATCCTTCAGTCAGGACACTATAACTGCTGTTGCTGTTTCTGAGTTATTGATGTAGCAGAGGTGAATATGTCAGCTTTTCAGTTTAGCCTTGATTCGATAGAGGCCAGTTCACAAACTCTCAGTTTTTAACCTCTATATTGGGCATAGTTCTGGGGTAAACATGATTGGGCAAGTACTAGGGAGATCATTTATAGACACAGCCTGGCTTTGATCTTAGCTTTCTATACCATCAGAAGTAGCTCATAGTTAGTAGGTGAAAATCTCAGTCCTTTCATATGTAGAATTAAATGATTTTGTGGTTGTTGTGAGAGTCTGTAGTATAGCATACTAAATGATTAGAAAACTGGAAGGGAGTTATTTTAAAAATAAATGTTTTTGTCTGGTATGTAAAGTGGAAAAGGAAGTCTTTATGAATCTGAAAAGTTAAATCTGGTAAATTAAATGGAGATATAGTAGGGACCACTGCCCTTGGACCTTTTAAAATATGTAGTGGTATGTATTTTCACTATCTCACTGGGATGACATAATATTTTTGATTTACCATCTTAACGAGATGGAGGGTTTAGAGGTTGCCTAAGTGGTTTTTCTCACCATGACAGATCTTACCCCACAGGCCAGGGATATAATGTACAGGTTACTCTAAACACTTTGTACATAAATTCTAATTATATACTTAAGAACTGGGGAAATTATCACTGGATGGATCCATAGACACAGTTGGTCCCCTGTGAGCCAAAATTTAGCAATAATTTGTTGCATGACTCCTGAGGACACTCCAGATCTAACAAGGGGCCACTAAGAGATTTTAGTCCTTGAATATGTGTCATCATCTCTTACCCAGTGTTTAATATCTACTTATTCCTCTTGTAATGTATATATTACTGTGAATATACCTGTATATATACACAAATATACACAAATATGGGTAGGGATCATACAGTGATCCCATTGGGGATCATTTTGCAAACTATTCAAGATGTTTCAAGATGTCCTTTCTTCTCCCCTGCTCTGTAATGGGGATCTGGCTTTGTAAATTAGCTCATCTGGGAACTGAGCAGAATGCCATGATTTTTCTATTGGACCAACAATTCTCAGCCTGTTGTTTCCTCATTCTTACTTAAACTAAATGCTAAATAGCACCATTGTTGGCTGCCCACCTATTTGACCCCTAAGGATGCCAGGCATTTTTAATCATTTCCACAGCTCCTTGTGGGCCAACCCCCTTGTCTGCTCCAACAGTCTTATTGATCGTTATGGTAATAATTGTGGGCTCTGGATTTTGTCAGTTAAGTCCTGACACCTGGCATCTTTTACTTTGAAGCCCCATTACTCAGTGTCTAACCCTGTTACTGCCTCTCATCAGCTCTAGTCTGCAAAAGAAAGTCACCACTGAACTTCTTAGTGAAGTGATGCCCCTCTCATCAGTGTATTCTTTCTCTAGTGGCCTTGGTCAAGGATGTGTCCCCTGGAACATAATCTACTGGTAGTTCGTCTGCCCTTACATAGTATACCCTTTCTAGCACATTCAGTGTCTCTGTTGGCTTCTTTATTCCTTTCTCTTCCATCTGCTTGGGCAACTAGGACATTTCCATTACTTTCAATTGGCTGTTGTTTTTTCTAGGTTTCTAAGAATCACTCCAGCAGCAAGTTTTGCCTATCTTATCCTCAGGAGTCCTCAGTAAGGAATTATATTTCCTGTGGTCCTGAGAATATGCACCAAAATTCATGAGTTCTTGTTTATCCAGTCTTACCTGCTATCCTTCTTGATTAAACACCACCAAAATGCAATTCCTGTCATACTCCCCTAGTTCCTGCCAGTACACTCTAGCTTATTTTTATGGCTCTTTTAAGTATATAATAGCTTCCCTTTCTTTCTTTTTTTTTAATAAATTAATTTTTATTGGTGTTCAATTTACCAACATACAGAATACACCCAGTGCTCATCCCGTCAAGTGTCCCCCTCAGTGCCCGTCACCCATTCACCCCCACCCCCCGCCCTCCTCCCCCTCCACCACCCCTAGTTCGTTTCCCAGAGTTAGGAGTCTTTATGTTCTGTGTCCCTTTCTGATATTTCCCACACATTTCTTCTCCCTTCCCTTATATTCCCTTTCACTATTATTCATATTCCCCAAATGAATGAGAACATATACTGTTTGTCTTTCTCCGATTGACTTACTTCACTCAGCATAATACCCTCCAGTTCCATCCACGTTGAAGCAAATGGTGGGTATTTGTCGTTTCTAATGGCTGAGTAATATTCCATTGTATACATAAACCACATCTTCTTTATCCATTCATCTTTCGATGGACACCGAGGCTCCTTCCACAGTGGCTATTGTGGACATGGCTGCTAGAAACATCAGGGTGCAGGTGTCCCGGCGTTTCATTGCATCTGAATCTTTGGGGTAAATCCCTAACAGTGCAATTGCTGGGTCGTAGGGCAGATCTATTTTTA